AAGTCCTAGTTCATTATCACCTTTTCCCTCAATTCCAACTGAAAAACCAACTGCAAAGTCAACTAATGGTACAAGTGCATCTGCAAATGCAACATCCTCTGGTAAAAATGTTTTAGGAACTGGAGGTGCTGTGGCAATCAGTGTTGTTGCTGGGTTTATTGTGCTCAGTCTTCTTGTGATGGCTGTATGGTTTGCACAGAAACGAAAAAGGAAGAGGGCTGGACCAAAAATTGGGTACACTATGCCTTCTCCATTTGCCTCCTCTCAAAATTCAGGTAAACAATTGTAGCATTTCTTACCCTAAGCAGATTTTTATGTTTTGCTGTTGGTTGTGGATGTCTGAATTCGATGTGAGGACTATCTTTGTTTCAATCTTTTCAGGATTAGTTATGAAATCTTCAAAAATACTTATTCTTTTTGTTTGATTCCATTTTCTGGTTACAAACTCCAAAACTTTTCACCTGAATTGAAATTTCCCCTGATAGTAAGCGAAATGATTTTGGTTGAATAGAAACCTTTTTGAGTAATATGTATAATAGTATGAACTTATAAGAAGAATAATATGAGAAAAGTTTATAATTGTCATCCAATGGGATCCACATTTGGTTGCAATGTGCATATTACATTTAAACATTCTATTTTATTGACAAGGGAAATTTAAAGATCTTTGATGCTTGTTAAGTGGCATCTTTTATCCTAGATTATCACTTAAAAGGGAAATTTGAAGATCTTTCATTCTTATTAAATGATGTTATATCCAATATTATCATTGTTTTATTTTTTATCCTTTTTCCTCCAATTCCAGATGGCTATTTGTTCCACAAAATCCAATTGAGAAAACTATCCTAGATTTTTGCACCAGCTTGATGCTCTGATTCTCAAGCCCCTAGGACCTATCCTTTCCTTACCGTTTTTCTTCAATTTCTCAATGTTATAGCTTCAATGCTTTCTACCTTTTATTGCAGCTGTCATATCTTTAGTGACAGCATAGACTGTGGTTCATTGATAGTATCCCAAATGGTTTGAGAATTAAGTTAAAGGAGTTTGGTAGTGGGAATTTTATTAACAGGCGCGTCTAATGATTGTTAACAATATTATTTGAAAATATATAGAATGACATAAATAATTATTTTTATCATAAATAGTCATCATGTCTAGCCAATATAGTATCTGTAAAGCTAAGAAATAATTAATTTAATTAGAATTTTATAAAACTGCAATAATTAAGATGACTTTTGTACCACTTTCAACAAAAACAGATATTGGTTTATTAAGATTTTGCAGAAGCACTATAACATTTAATTTTTTCAAAGAGAAACTATAATGTTTTCGAATCTTAAAATCATGTGAGATTCAATCTCACGTTGTGCACAAAATAATCTAAACCTTCCTTACTAAACATCTTAGAATGAGTGACATTGAGAATCTAATATCAAAACAGAGATTATTAGTAGGGTTTCGACCACCTTTTCTGCATATCTCAGCAACTAAAAGGAAAAATTTGAAACCCACCCTAAGTCCCTATCATTATTTTTCTAGTTGTTTCTAATGTAAAAGGCAAAAGGATTGGTTCTGTTTTCTTATATGGGAAAACTGAGAAACCTAAAGAGTCAATAGAGCTATAGAAAGATATAAATGTGGATGCGTGCACAAGTCCTTTCGTGGGTATCATTTTTTAATCCATAAAGTTCTTTGTAGAACTTGTAAATGACCCGAATAAGTGTTGTAGATCTTGTTTATATTAATCCACAAAGTTCTTCGTTATAGATCTTGTTAATGACCCGAATAAGTGTTGTAGATCTTGTTTATACTGTACATTTAATTAGTTTTTTTCCATATTCAATTGGGCTCGCCAAGGATTTGGAGTTAATAAAGGCTAAAATTATATTTCAGGTTAATTTGCTAGGGGATTCTGAAGTCATATAATACTTGAGCATTTCGATTCCTTCTTTTAATTTTTCTGGCTATAACTGAATATTGCTTCAATAAATGCTGTGTAGTAATATCTGAACTTGCATTGCTCGGCAGATTCAGCGTTTTTAAGGCTGCAATCTCCACATCAACTAATGGGAAGTGGTTCTAACAGTGGTTTTTATTCACCGTCAGAGCCTGGTGGGGTCAATAATTCCAGGTCATGGTTCACATACGAAGAGCTAGTCCGGGCAACAGATGGGTTTTCAGAACATAATCTATTGGGTGAAGGTGGGTTTGGTTGTGTATACAAAGGTATCCTCACAGATGGTAGAGAAGTAGCTGTAAAGCAGCTAAAGATTGGTGGTGGGCAGGGGGAGCGGGAGTTCAGAGCAGAAGTTGAGATTATTAGCCGAGTACATCATCGCCATTTGGTTTCACTGGTGGGGTACTGTATATCAGAGCATCAAAGACTGCTCGTCTATGATTATGTCCCGAACAACACCCTTCATTACCATCTCCATGGTAAGACATCTTCTGACCTCAAAGGAGGAATGATCTTAAACTCTTTTAAGTACTTCTGTCCTCTATAAGCATTCTCTGTTTATGATGAAGTCAGATATAATTTTAGTAGTTTGCACATGAGGTATATGTATGGTGCAAAATCAACTGACATGATGGATATTTTTACCAACTTTCTAAGAGGATTCCTGTCCATTAACTTGTTTGGACCCGCACTGCTTGACCATCTGTACTTCAGTTGGGAAGGTCCCTTGTCCTCTCCCAACTCAGATCACATATGCATGAGTATCGTCCTACACCTTGAATACAAGATGAGGGATAACAGAAACATGAAGACTGTAATCGATTTGTTTTTATTTTATGCACTTTTATGGAATTTTGCAGGTAGAGGCAGGCCGGTAATGGAATGGGCTGTCCGAGTCAAGGTTGCTGCAGGTGCAGCACGTGGGATAGCTTACCTCCATGAAGACTGTAATCTATTTGTTCTCTTTTCCTTTTTTATTTTTTAATTTGAGACTTCGGCATATGCTGCATGGTGCAAACCCTTAAATTATCTGAATAAGGACAACAAAATAGAGTTTAAACAACTCCTAAGTTTGCTATGCTATATAAAGTCATATAAACTTGAAATCATACCTCTCCTAATCCTCACTTAGTTTCCATTCTAACTTCTAATGTAACATTTTTTATAAATATTTTGCTTCGATCAGGCCATCCTCGCATCATTCACAGGGATATCAAGTCATCAAACATTCTTCTTGACAGCAATTTTGAGGCTCGGGTATGCCATTTCTACAGTCTAAACATTTGTGTACACTGTTATTTTGATCTTGAATTGCTTTGGGGTATTTGGACAATGCTTATGAATGTCTCATCATCTTTTGTGAACTATTAGAATTTCTGCTGTCATTTGTAGAATTATTAACATTTCTTACCATTATAATTTAACTAACTATATATATTTTTTTATTTTAATTTCCCTTTCGCCACTCTAACTTTCTGTCTAACAATTCATGTTGCTGCTTACAGGTTTCCGATTTTGGGCTTGCAAAGTTAGCTTTGGATTCAAATACCCATGTAACCACACGTGTGATGGGAACTTTTGGGTAAGATAACTTGATATGCTGGTTTGTGATATATCTAGTAGAATTAGGCTTTCATGTGCTATGCATAATTCTGTTTCTTCTTTGTTGCATAAGCATAATAAAAGATTTTGTACTTTTTTGTTGTAAGCTAGCAGTTGAGGTTTATATTATATATGCATGTTATTACTTTCATCTATTAAAAGCACATAGTTGAGGTTTAAAGGCATTTTATATCCTATAATTTTTAGATGTATACTGCATTTTTTTCACTTTTATTTGGTCTGCAAACATGTATGTGTCATAATCAAGTATCATATTCAGGTGTTCTGATAAATGAAATTGTTCTTTTATAGATATATGGCTCCAGAGTATGCAACAAGTGGCAAGTTAACTGAAAAATCTGATGTTTATTCCTTTGGTGTTGTGCTCTTGGAGTTAATTACTGGGCGCAAGCCTGTTGATGATTCTCAGCCCCTAGGTGATGAGAGCCTGGTTGAATGGGTAAGGTTATGCAGCTATGTCTTGTGTTGTCAACAATTTGTGCTTGCTTTAGCATGCCTTTTGGTCTGACTTCTTCATAAGATTTGGTGTTGCCTTAAGTTTAAAATCTTATACTGGTCAAATCTTTTAAAATTTTGATTTTCTTCTGAATAAAACTAAAAAACCCAAATCCATTGCAGTGTTGCACAAAAAATTCCAAAATATACTAAACCGAATTGTTACGTCAACCATTCATATCTTATGTAATGGAACCTGTGGCAATGTTCCAATACCCAACAGTTTAATATGATTCAAACTTGCTACTCAGGCTCGGCCATTGCTTGCTGAAGCGATTGAACATCAAGAATTTGAAGAGTTGGTGGATCCAAGGCTGGAAAAAAACTATGTGGCTCATGAAATGTTTCGAATGATTGAGGCAGCTGCAGCTTGTGTGCGACATTCAGCTGCCAAGAGGCCAAGAATGAGTCAGGTAAATGTGTTTGGAGTAATTTGGAAATTTCTATACTAACATGTTTGGCTTACACATGGATTTTTTGACATTCAAATCTTAGGTGGTGAGAGCTCTAGACTCGTTGGATGAGTCATCAGATCTCACAAATGGAATGAAACCTGGCCAAAGTGAAGTTTTTGATTCAGCACAACAATCTGCGCAAATTAGAATGTTTCAGAGGTTAGCATTTGGCAGTCAAGAATATAGCTCTAGTTTCTTTAATCACAGCCAGAGCAGTTGGAGAAGTCAAGAAGATGGTAGTCAGGGTAGCTGGAGGAGTCGAGATTATGCGAATCAGAGTAGCTGGAGTCGAGAGCACAGGGAGCGTAGCACGCTAATGCCTTAAACGCATCTTGGATGTAAAGCAAAACGGATGAGTTCAATGCTTACCATTATAAGCAAATTGAACCCTATGACTCGAGTGTAAATGCATCAGTGTAAAGGGGATGCCTGTTCCTCTCAATTTTTGATGAGATTTGAGACCGAGATCATGGAATGGTCTTGCTGCTCACTTTATGTGTAATATTGTGCGTTTTGTTCCTTTTAACCCTTTTTTAACTCCTAGCTCACATGATTTTTGAAAAGAAAAGAAAAGAAGGTTACCTGATTTTCTTGTAAGAATGCCTGTGCTTGTATTTTCTATGATATGGATTCATTCATGCATCTTTTCTTTGTATTGATGTTTATTAATTTAATGTAAGTTTCTTTTTCTCATTTGTTACTCATGACTCATGAATTTTGTTTTGCACATGGAGAAATGTAAAGAAAAACTGTTAAAAGGCTTTGTTTAATACGTAAGTTGTTACTACCTTTTAATCCTAAATCCCAGCAAATTTTACTGCCCCACTATATATGGGATTACAATAGGTGATGAGAACTGAACAACTAGATTCCCACTCATCAAATTATTGTAGACAAGGACCGTGATAAGGAATTGATTGTCCATGAATTTAGATGCCTTCATCCCATCTTTGCCCCTTAGGTCATGGGAAAAAAACTTTTGTCCTGCCATGCCTATCTAGGACTTACTTGTTGGCTGCAACAGTAGCAACAGTCGCCAAGCTTGTTGCCGGAGGTCTTTATTCTCGCTCGTAGGAGTTAGTTTAAGAAGCAAAAAGGAGAAGACAACCCAGATGGTGACCTGTTCCTAGATTGGTTCTTGGATTATTACCCAGATGGCGACCTGCCCCTGATTTTAGATGTGCGCTTGATTGTTATCTGATTTATGTATCCCTACCAGTCTAAGGTTGACAGTGTTGATCAATTGGTTGCGAGCCTACGACTTGATCAAGTGCATGGTAGTCACAAGGTAACCTGTTAAACCTTATCTTGATATTTAAATCAACCTCATCATTCTCTAATCTCATCAATTATCTCTTATCTGTCAACTCCTCGGTGGAATAAAAACCTTGTCTCCGTGGTCCTGCACACAAGTTCTATTATTGCATTCTAGATAACTTGTCCTACAGCAGCATGTGAATTGGCTTGGAAGTTGTGAAAGTCCCATGGAAATTAATTCGTAGGCCGCCTTGCATGGGGCCTAGTGTCACATCAATGAACTATACAATTTGCAAAGGACAAAGATGATGCATATGTCGACTGTGTGGATACTGCACTTACCACCCTCGTGTTTTTCCATCTAATATTCTCCATCTACCCTGCAGCAGCCCCCTCAGATATAAAGTTCAGGCCTTG